TTACTGTGTTGCTTGGCTGGAGTGCAACTTCACAGTCCTGGGCTCAAGTGATCCTCCTGCCTCAGCCTCCCGAGTAGCTGGCACTACAGGCATGTGCTACTATGCCTGGCTGATTTTTCTTTTTTTTGTACAGACAGCATCTTGCCCTTGTTCATGCTGCTCTTGAACTCCTGGCCTCAAGAGATCGTTCTGCCCCGGCCTCCCAAAGTGCTAGGATTATAGGTGTGAGCCATTGCGCCCAGCCAATAGTTTTTGTTGTTGTTGTTTTTGTTTTAATTTTATACTTAACCTTGTACAGTATTATGTTTTCAAATATATATATTGTGTGGGATGGCAAAACTGAGCTAACAGACATAAGCAGTATCTCACATTTATGATTTATTTGTGGTGAGAACACTTAAAATCTATTCTCTCAGTGATTTTCAAATACACCGTACATTGTTATTAACTATAGTATTAATAATTATGTGGTACAATTGGTCTCTTCATTTCCCTTTAATTTTGAAGGAGAATTTTGTCAAAAATAGTATTCTTGGTTGACAGTTTTTATTTCTTTCAGTACTTTGAACACATTATCCTGCCATCTGGACTGCGAAGTTTTTGCTGAGAGATGCAGATTATCTTAAAGTTTTCTTATTATGACAAGTCCTTTTCCTCTTGCTGCTCTCAAGATTCTCCCTTTTTCTTCAATTATGATCATTTGTTTATAATGTCTCTGATGATATCTTTGAATTCATTTTAGCTGGGGTTGATTGAACTTCTTGACTTTGTAAATTCCATTTTTTTCCTTCAAATATGGAACATTTTGGCTATTACTTCTTCATATGAGCATTCTGAACCTCTCTTTTCTCCTCTCTTTTGTAATGTATATATTGTTCTGCTTCTCAGTAAACCAAAAGTCTGTTAGGCTCTCTTTGGTTGTCATTATTATTCGTTTTGTTCCTCGACTCAGTAATTTTCAATAAGCTGTCTTTGAAGTTTGCTTATTCCTTCTTCTGACTTAGTTGCTCTGCTTTTGAATTATTCTTGTAAAGTTTTCAATTTATTTTATTTCAGCTCCAGAAGAATTTTGATCTGGTTCTTTTTAATAGTTTAATTCTTTGTTGATACTCATGTTTTGTTCACATATTTTTTACTGATTTCCTTTACTTGTCTATTTCTGTTTCCTTTTAGCTCCCTGAATGTCTTTAAGGCAGTTGTTTCAGGTTTTTTTCAGTAATTGGAGAACTTTGCTTCTTTAGGGTCAGTTTCTGGAGAGTTTTATTTATTATTTATTTCATTGGACAATCCTGCCCTGTCTTGTTGTGGACTTAAAATTTTTCATTCTGTTCTGGGCATCTGACAAACGGCCAACTCTCCCAGTGTTTGTGAACTAGTGTCATGCAGGGGAGACCTTCAATAATCAGCCAGTGGAAGTTTCTAGGACCTCTCAGTCCTTTTCTGGGCTTGTGTCTAACCTGGCCATTTTTATGTACTTTTACTCCAGTATATGTGGCTGCTTATACATTTTTATTTTCCTCAAGACACTTACTCCTGTTCCTTCTTGAAAGCCCTCGATTTCTGTTGTATTTCTCTGCCCGTAATCTCTCCCTGCCAGCCCCAACCCTCCCGACACTGCAGAACACGTGCTGCTCTAACCCCCACGGAGTCTACATGTATTTTCAGTAACCTCCAAGCTGCTCCTATACAAACTATACCACTCTTTCTAACAGTAATCCCAGTAAGACAAGACAGAATCTAGTCCCTTGTGCAAATGTCAGATAAGCCAGAACAATAGATGCAAGTTTGACTCTTCTTTTATCCCAAGAAGAAAATACTGAGGGAGCCACATTGCCCTGTGCGGGAAGGAGGTAGGGCAAAGATGAGCAAATTCCCACAAACTTTCCTATCTTTTTGGTTTAATTTTTTGTATTGGTTGATGTTCATTTGGGTGCTGCAGCTTCCCTACTGGTTCCTAGACTTCTCAAAGATATTTTGGAGTGAATATTTTTGTGAAGTTGATGTCTTCATGAGGATATGAGGGCCTGGTGTTTCCTAATCTGTCCTCTTGCTGGTGTCACTTTCCGTGTCTCATTTATTCCACACACTGTGTTCAGAGGTCCAGTGATGTGATTATAAATGATACAGGGCCAGCAAAAGAAATACTATCATTTTTGTATAAGAAGCAAGGAAACATAATCTCACAATTTTAATATGCCATAATTGTTCATTTTCTACATTTCAAATTATACCGTATGACTAATATTTTAATTAGTGGGTTGTTTGTTTCCACTACAGTGACCACAGATAGACCTCGGCAAAAGCTTTTGTCTAGTTTTGTTTTCTAAATCATATCTCTGCTTACTTGGCCAAAGGATCAACAAGTGATCCTCTCACCTCAGACCCCTGAGTACCTGGGATTATAGCCATGGGCCACCACGTCTGGCATAATTAATTTTTATTATATATCGATGATTTTTCAGTATATGTTATGCAATACGAGTGATATGCACCACTCATTAATGTCACAAAATATCTGTTCTGCATGGGGAATTTGTTAACATTGCTCTATTGATCTTATTTTTTTCATTGTTAGTGTTTTATCATTCAGAATTACCATTTATTTAGATTATCCTTATATTTGTTTATTGTAGATTATTTACCAATACAGTATATTGTACTTCCCTTTACCAGTTACTTGTGTACAGTAAATATACTGTAACTATATATATTTTTTGTCTTCACTTATGAGACAGCATTATATTTTCTGCAAATTGTTGTGTACATTAGCATAACGGTGGAAAAGTACTTATTTTAGGCTTACACATTTGTACAATATGAGTGATCATGCTATTAGAAACTAGGCTTCCCTAGAATTAATTTAAATTACACGTAATTACCTTTTCTTTATTAAAGAATTGTATTCCTTTTGTGTACCAAAGCTTTGAAGACCATGTTCAGGAAGTATAAAGTTTCCTTTCATGTACTATAAATTTCAATGTTAAATCTTTATTTTCCATCTGTAGCTAATAGGAAACCTATGGGTATTTATATCTTGTAGATATTTCTCCTAAATGTGTGATCAAGGAATTACCGCCAACAGGGAAAAGTACTACAGGAGAAGTATTCCACACACTGATGTTGGGAAGACATGAAAGCCATCCCATTGGAAAGTCGTGCTTTAGGGAAACTCAGAAAAATGTCCATGACTTTAAGTTTCAGTGGAGAGATGGAGAACAAAATTACAACGCAGTGCCTTTGACAAAAAAAGAGAATTTTACTGGTAGTAGAGACCAATGTGAGAGAACGGACACTGGGAACAAGCCTATTAAAAATCAGCTTGGATTAAAGTTTCAGTCACATCCTCCTCAACCGAATGTATTTCAAGCTGAAGGGAAAATTTGTAATCAAATTGAGAAGTCTGTCAACAGTGGTTCCTCAGTTTCAGCATCCCCAAGAATTTCTTACAAGCTCAAAACCCATATTTCTAATAAATATGGGAATGATTTCAACTGTTCTTCATTACTCACACAAAAACAGGAAGCACACATTAAAGGAAAACCTTACAAATGTAATGAGTGTGGCAAACCCTTTAATTATGTCTCACACCTCAGTATACATCAGATAATCCATTCTGGAGAGAAACCATATAAATGTGATGTATGTGGCAAGGGCTTTAATCATAAATCAAACCTCGCACGACATCGTAGAATTCACACTGGAGAGAAACCTTACAAGTGTAATGAGTGTGGCAAAGCCTTTAGTGTGCGCCCACACCTCACTAGACATCAGAGAATGCATACTGGAGAGAAACCATACCAGTGTAAGGAATGTGACAAAGCTTTCAGTCACAATTCATGCCTTGCGATACACTGGAGAATTCACAGTGGAGAGAAACCTTACAGGTGTAGTGAGTGCGGGAAAGTTTTCAGTCAAAAGTCAAGCCTTGCAACTCATCAAAGAATTCATACTGGAGAGAAACCTTACAAGTGTAATGAATGTGGTAAATTGTTCAATCAAACTGCAGCCCTTAAAAGTCATCAGAGAATTCATACTGGGGAGAAACCTTACAAGTGTAATGAATGTGGCAAAGTCTTCAGTCAAACTGCATCCCTTGCAAATCACTGGAGAATTCACACTGGAGAGAAACCTCATAAACGTCATGAATTTGGCAACATTTTTGGTAAAACTGCAACCATTGCAAATCAATGGAGAATTTATACTGGAGAAAAACCTTAAAGATGTAATAAACAAGTCAAGGTCTTCGGTCCTACTTCACACCTTGCACAACATCTGAAAACTCATACTGGACAGAAACCTTGCAAATCTAATGAGTGTGGCAAAGTCTTCGAAATTCACTCCTCACACATCATCATAAAATTCCTTCTTGACATAATCTGTACAAATGCAATGAGTATAAAAAAACCTTCATGAGTTCAAGCAGTAATTGACATTAGAGAGTTCATATTAAAGAGGGATTATATAAACTAATGGCTGTCATGAAGGAGTTTTGCTGGTTTCACAACTCATTAGACACAAAAATATATCTGATGCATCACACAATTGTAAAGTGCATGATGAGACTATATTACCCATGTTTCAAAAATATAGAAGATCAGAAGATTTATATGAGGAATAACTAAGTCTCTAGTTCTCCATGATTAACCTTTGAGGTTACATACTGCAGGACAATTACAAGTTAAAATATTTTGAAACCTATGGTATGATACAGATCAGATCCCAGGACTTTTGGAAATGGCCAGTTTTTTTTTTTTTTCAGGTTATATTTTACTCTATTATATGAGGTTTATTGAAAACGGTACCTTATTATTTATGACTTTCACCCTGACCTTTGATACCTGTTTTTTACTTTTTTCAGTAAATTCAGCTTGATACAAAAAAAATCTGTTGCTATTGTGCATCCTTACATAGCTTTCAAGGTGGTCCCTGGCTAAGACTCAATAGGATGAAGGTCTTATTTACTAGATGAGAATCAGTTACTTCCATGTTGACTCTGCTCTTTAAATATTTTCTGAATTAGCATTTGGCAGAAGCCAAGAATAATATTAAACTATGATGTCACTCAAAATGGTCACTGTGTTCTTGGTGCATTTCTCCTGACAGGAGGGCACTGTGGGTTAAAGGAAAGAAATGCTCTACCAACTGGCCCTAAAAGAGACCAGGCCAAGACCTTAGGACGTGGGGATTTTGGGGAGAAGAGAGGTACAGGTTACTTGGGATTGACTGTGTGGTAGAAATAATGCAGGGGACATAGTGGTCACCTCCGTTGAACGGCAGCATCTGTTGTTCAGCAAAGATTGACGAAAAATTAGTCTTATTTTTTGAAACTGAAGAAAAGACTTGTCAGGAGAGTTTAATCAAAAGTACCAGTATAGCATATTCTTGAGTAGAATTCACTTTTAACTTTTGACATTACATTTTGCTGTTGGTTTATTCAGAATGTATCACGGATCTCATTTTAATTAATGGAATTAATCATAGAAACTACTAAGTTGGAACTACAGTTTCTTGTAAGAGCTTACAGAAAAGCAACAAAGTATCATGACGCGCTGCATGTGGATGACAAGGCTTAATATAACCTTACATAAAGATTTGATGAAAACTTTATTATAATGATGCAACAGACAAGGAAATTTGGTTATTTCTGTGCATAGAACATTTTAACATAATAACCAAAATTATGACTGATAACATTAGACTAGGACTTACCAGATTCTTTTTATTTTTTGAGACAGGGTTTTCCCTGGCTAGAGTGTAGTGGCATGATTATAGCTCACTGCAACCTCAAACTCGTGTGCTCTAGTGCTGTAGTAATCCTCCTGGCTTAGCTTCCCAAGTAGCTGGGACTGTAGGCACACGGCACTACACCCAGCTAATTTCTATATTTTTTGTAGAGATGAGGTCTCACTATGTTGCCCAGGATAGTCTAGAACTCCTCATCTCAAACAACCCTGCCCTCTTTGTCTCCCATAATACTGAGATTACAGGCGTGAGCCACCATGCCCAGCCATGATCTCCTAAAAGATAAGGTAGACACATTCAAACGTTAAGAGTTTGAGCATTCAGTGTTTCACAAATGGGCCAACAACGGACCACAAGGCTTAGTGGTCCGCTCTGGGGGCTGGAGAGGAAACTTTCATAAGGTGTTCATGGAAGCAAAACAAAGAAAATATATTTAATTGGTTAAAGCAGAAAGTCCCTAGTACGATGTTATTTAGTAGTTTTGATTGGTTTAGCCAAAGGTTCCTTTTACTGTTCACATTAGGCTTAGTTTTCTTACATGGCAACTCAAGGCACTGGAGCTGTCTGAGCCTAGTGGTGTCCCAATTTAAAAATTTTTCAACACTAGGTGTTTTTTGTATTACATATTATATTAGATGTTATATACTACATATTGCCTCATTTTTAAACTTTTAAAATTACAATAATACACATAAAATGGACCATTTTTACCTTTGGTAAATTCAAAGTGTTGTCCAACCATCACCACTGTCTAGTTTCATCACCCCCATGGAAACTCTGTGCTCATTAAACAGCCACTCCCCACTTGCCTCTCCCTTCAGTCCCTCCTGTCAACCAGTAACCTGCTTTCTGTTTCTACAGATTTACCTGTTCTAGTTCACATAAATAGTATGCAGTATGTGACCTTTGTGTCTATATAATTTTTCATTCTATTTTAATTTATGCTCTTGTAACTTCAGCCTCACTTTCCGTTGTCAACTGGAACTGATTATACTTTGTAAACATAAAGTCTACAAATGTTCCTATTATGTTAGTTCACAGAAGTTTTTGTTAGATTTCTATTTCGTTTGTGTTTTCAGAAATATATCATTTGCAGATACACATTTGCCCTTTCGCTTACAGTTTTTTACTCACTTATTCCTCTTCTTTGTTAAATTATCTTGGCTATTTCCTCCAAGATGATGTATTATATACAGGAGATTTGAGGCTCCTTATTGTTACTTATGAATTTAGTGGGGGTTTTGCTAGTGTTTCTCAAATGAAGTATGAGGGCTATAATCTGCCCTTTATTAATAAAGATACATACATTCCGAATTTATTGCTTAAATGTAACATTAATCCCTGTTGAATTCTGCCATTTTTTTGTACTCATGAATATGAGCACTGTATTTTTCTTTTTATATCTAGTATGAACTACATCAGTGGATTTCCTAATATTAAATCTTATCTGCACTCGTGGTTCAAATTGTATTTGTTCATCATGTATCCTTTTTAGTTAGCGACTGCAAACTGATAATATTTTACATAAGACTTTCATGTATATATGCAAGCATGACTAACTTCCGTAGTATATTATTTGCAAAAGATTTTAAAAGGTCTATCAGTGTCTATTCAGATAGTAAAAGTTACTTTAAACTTTTCTTACTTACTTAATGACCTTTCCGGATTTTGAGTGGCATTGATTTTGATTTATTTAGAAGATTGTGGAGGGGGAGGGGCAAGATGGCAGACTGGAAGCAGCCCATGCACGCTGCGCTAAAGGAAAGAATCGGATGTTGCAGATGGGTGCCCACCTACACATGGGCCTTCTTGGAAAGAACATTGTGAATCGCCAGAGCCAAGGAGAAGGCGCTGACACAATCCACTTTGTGAGAACGGAAGGTACCTGGGGGCGCATCCACATGTCGGGGGGAAACCTGGGGCTTCACACACCCCGTGGACACAAGCAGTAGTTGTCATCTATGCTTCTGAATGACCAGGTAACCGTGGTTTTCAAATCCCCTCTCACGTTTGCTAGAATGAGTATTCCATCCAGCTGTTCTTCTGCATCCTTTGTAATGTTCTTTATAACAAATGAGTAAATCTACGTAAAATGTTTTCCTAAGTTCTGTGAGCTGCTCTGGCAAATTAATAAAGGCTGAGGAGGGGATCATGGGAATCCCCAACTTATAGCCCATTGGACAGTTTAGGACCCAACCTGGGACTTGTGACTGGCATATGAAACGTGGCCAGTCTTATGGAACTGAGCGCTAACCCTGTGGGATCTGATGCTAACCCACGTACACAGTGTCGGAACTGAGGTAGATTATGGTACACCAAGTTGTGTCTGATGGAGAACTGGCTGTTGGTGGGGAGAAATTCCCCTTTAGTGACCAGAGGTGAAGTATTTTGTCTTGAGTGTTGACTGTTGCATTGAGTGTGACAAGGGGAAAAAACACTGTGGTTTTTCCTCCGAGCTTATCTACTCTCCCACAGCCTACCCATTCCCAAAAAAGGGAAGTGGGTGACCCACAATTGAATGCACTGCCCTCCGGCTGAACGGGGTCCAATCACTCAGCCAGTAGGGGCTGACATAAGATTTTATTTTAGTTCACACTAAAGGCTCCTACTGTCTTTTTGCAAATCCCTGCCCCCATTCTCTGCTTGGGGTCTGTTTATGGGTTTCGGGCATTCTCCCATTCTTTCTCAATTTGTCTGTTTACTCTCACTTGCTCTTTTTTTTTTTTTTTTTTTTTTTTGAGACGGAGTCTCACTCTTTTGCCCAGGCTAGAGTGAATGCCCTGGCGTCAGCCTAGCTCACAGCAACCTCAAACTCCTGGGCTCAAGCGATCCTCCTGCCTCAGCCTCCCGAGTAGCTGGGACTACAGGCAT